ACGTCGGCCTAAGGATTTTGTTGGACTTGAATGTGGGCTTTGTGAGCAAGCTGATGTTCGCCTTCATCATCATAGTATGACCCTGTGCTTTGGTGGGCCTGCTCTGCTGTCGGTGGGCCTTTGGACATCGCTGGCTATTTCACGGATCCCATTCAGTGGCTCAGATGGTTTCTGCCCGCGGTGCGGCACGGAAGTCGAGGCGACTATGCGCAGATTGTGGGATTGTCCCCACAACGCAGCTGAACGCGTTCATCTTGATGCTGTGGTGCCTGGTAACCTGTTTCCGCTGTATCTACCTGCCTGCCTCGCTCGATGTGGACTTGTTCCTGAGCACCTTCCTGCCAATGTCTCACGTGCTGATGCTACTGCTGTTTCACAATACCTACTTCGTGTGAATGCAATCGCCACGCAAGCTTTGGCTGACCGACGGGCGGGGCGCCCAGTTTCTTTGACCCTGGACGTTCCTCGCTCGCAGCCTGCTGCTGATCTTTATCGCCATGCTCTACCTCCGCTGCCACGGCCGCGGGCTCTGCATGTTCCTAGTCCTGGGCCTGCCCCTCGGCGTGATGAGCTCCCTCTGCAGCCAGGCCCTGGAGTTTTCCGCGCGCCTGCTCTGATTACCTTATCTTCCGACGGCTCCTTCCACCGTGACGACAATGATGACGCGTCTGGCTGGGGCTTTTGTGTTGCACGTGATGGCTGGCCTGCCCTACTTGACTTTTGTGGGCCCACGGTACTGTCTCGGCATGACCCTGGTTTCGTCGGAGCTTCGCTCCATTCCAACAACGCGGGAGAACTTGCTGGCATCTATTTTGCACTTTGCTGGATCTTTGAATACGAACGTGCTCATGCTCCTGCTGGTGACTTATCATTCGTTCTTGAATATGACTCTGCGTACGCTGCTGATGTGATCCGCCGCCGTGCGCGGCCACGTCGTAATCTCACCCTGGTTTTGAGATCTCGGCGAATCCTTGATCGTGTTCATTCGATTATTGTCTGGCAGAAGATCAACTCTCATACTGGGCAATTTCAGAATGAACGTGCTGACCAGCTTGCTGCTTGTGGAGCCGCTGGCATTTCTGTGCAGGAGGCCTCCGTTAGTCGGTGGGCCGCACTGTCTACTTGATTTTCGGCTTCGAGGTCAGGCAGCCCCTGATCATTTCCAACCACGCCTTCATCAATTTCGTCGACCCCGAGACGGCACAGAGGTTCGCCGAGGTGCTGGACGGCCACCTCATGGACGGCGGCTCGTCTCTGGTCGTGCTCGTCTCGATGACCCAGGGGCTGGCGGAGAACCTGGCACAGTGGATGCGCGCGCGGTCGCGACGCGTGCGGGACCCGGAGGTTCTGCCGTTCGTGGCGCCCCTCGAGGCACTCGGCGTCGCACACCCGTTGGAGGCGGAGGCGCACTCGCCGTCGGAGCCGGATGCGGAGGCGTCTCCCAGCGGCTCCGAGTTGCCCGCCCCGCGCTTCTTCACGGAGGGCGAGGCCGTCAGCGCCCCGCCGTCGGCGCGTACCGGCGAGCTAGGCGCGGGGCGCCGGGACACGCGGCGGAGCTGGGGCAGCGGCGCCCCGGGGCCGAGGGCGGGCGCGCCTCCTGGCAGGTGGACGCCGCGCCTCCCGCCCGTGGGGGCAGCGCAGCCTGCGCCGCATGAGGAGGCCGCGTCGCGGGCACAAGCGGAGGCGGCGGCAGCCCAGGGGCTGAGCGGCGGCCCCGAGAGCGTTGTCTACTTCGTTTGCCTCTGCCTCTAGCAGGCGCGTTCCACCGTGTTTGCATTGTGAAGTGGGGGAGGCTCGCCCCTGCAGTTCTCGGCTTTTTTGTTCCCCACATCCCGAGTGGGGTTCCTGTTTTCCCAGAACATCCTCTCCTCCTCCTCCTCCTCCTCCTCCTCCTCCTCCTCCTCCCGCTTCCTCCACCATCCCATACTGTATCATACCATACCAATACCATGCCACTCCATACCATACCTTACCATGCCATACCATGCATCCACCATCCCATACCATACCATGCCTTTCCTCACACCATGTTATTTATCAGGTTTCGTGCCCCTCCCACCCCTCCAGGGAGGCCCCGCCTGAGCGAGCAGGGTATTCGCACACCATGTTATTTATCAGGTTTCGCGTTCCTCCCACCCCTCCAGGGAGGCCCCGCCTGAGCGAGCAGGGTATTCGCACACCATGTTATTTATCAGGTTTCTTGCCCCTCCCACCCTCCAGGGAGGCCCCGCCTGAGCGAGCAGGGTATTCGCACACCATGTTATTTATCAGGTTCCGTGCCCCTCCCACCCCTCCAGGGAGGCCCCGCCTGAGCGAGCAGGGTATTCGCACACCATGTTATTTATCAGGTTTCGTGCCCCTCCCACCCCTCCAGGGAGGCCCCGCCTGAGCGGGCAGGGTATTCGCACACCATGTTATTTATCAGGTTTCGTGCCCCTCCCACCCCTCCAGAGGGGCCCCGCCTGAGCGAGCAGGGTATTCGCACACCATGTTATTTATCAGGTTTCGTGCCCCTCCCACCCCTCCAGGGGGGCCCCGCCTGAGCGAGCAGGGTATTCGCACACCATATTATTTATCAGGTTTCGTGCCCCTCCCACCTCTCCAGGGAGGCCCCGCCTGAGCGAGCAGGGTATTCGCACACCATATTATTTATCAGGTTTCGTGCCCCTCCCACCCCTCCAGGGAGGCCCCGCCTGAGCGAGCAGGGTATTCGCACACCATGATATTTATCAGGTTTCCTGCCCCACCCATCCCTCCAGGGAGGCCCCGCCTGAGCGAGCAGGGTATTCGCACACCATGCTATTTATCAGGTTTCGTGCCCCTCCCGCCACTCCAGGGAGGCCCCACCAGAGCGGGAAGGGTGGTCGCACACCATTTTATGTATCAGGTATTTTGCCCATCCCACCTCTCCAGGGAGGCCCCGCCTGAGCGAGCAGGGTATTCGCACACCATGGTATTTGTAAGTGTTCGTGCCTCTCCCACCCCTCCAGGGAGGCCCAGCCTGAGCAAGCAAGGTATTCGCACACCATGTTATGTATCAGGTTTCGTGCCCCTCCCACCCCTCCAGGGAGGCCCCGCCTGAGCGAGCAGGGTATTCGCACACCATGTTATTTATCTGGTTTCGTGCCCCTCCCACCCCTCCAGGGAGGCCCCACCAGAGCGGGCAGGGTATTCGCACACCATATTATTTATCAGGTTTCGTGCCCCTCCACCCCTCCAGGGAGGCCCCACCAGAGCGGGCAGGGTATCCGCACACCATGTTATTTATCAGGTTTCGCGCCCCTCCCAACATTCCAGGGAGGCCCCGCCAGAGCGGGCAGGGTATTCGCACACCATATGATTTATCAGGTTTCATGCCCCTCCCACCCCTCCAGGGAGGCCCCACCAGAGCGGGCAGGGCATTCGCACACCATGTCATTTATCAGGTTTCGTGCCCCTCCCACCACTCCAGGGAGGCCCCGCCAGAGCGGGCAGGGTATTCGCACGCCATATTTTATTATCAGGTTTCGTGCCGTTCCCGCCCCTCCAGGGAGGCCCCGCCTGAGCGAGCAGGGCATTCGCACACCATGTTATTTATCTGGTTTCGTGCCCCTCCCACCCCTCCAGGGAGGCCCCACCAGAGCGGGCAGGGTATTTGCACACCATATTATTTATCAGGTTTCGTGCCCCTCCACCCCTCCAGGGAGGCCCCACCAGAGCGGGCAGGGCATCCGCACACCATGTCATTTATCAGGTTTCGCGCCCCTCCCACCCCTCCAGGGAGGCCCCACCAGAGCGCAGACAAGAAGCAATGGAACCCCGTAACATCTTTATGTGGGGAACTCCGTTAGCATGATTTTTTGATATTTGCCGCTGTCTTCTTGGGCCTCGTGGGGGGGTCCTCCGCACAGAATCCCTGGCATGCTGACAGACGGCCAGTCTGCTTGAAAATTGGCGATGCGCCCTGCGAGCACGACATGAGTTGGGAGCGGGCACTAACGCAGTTCATTTTTCGTTCTTCAGCACGACTGATTCAATATCCTACTTGCGCTCTCGCACGAATGTCTTCAGCAACTCGTGTTTCTGAACGCCTGTTTCAACATCCTGGATGGTATCGTGCATCATGATTCCGTGTCTGCATTACAGTTTGCAGGTTCATGTGAAAGGAGATCGTGTGTCTAAACACGTGCAAATGCATGATGTTTCGAACGGCTGCCTAGCCGCGTTCCGCGCAAGTCTGGGCACACTTGTTTCCGGAGGTCACCAACCACTTTTATGATGACGCCCTAAGGGTGATCATTCGACATTTCCTGCTTACTCTTGAGAACCGGTCCTCAAGACAATGACAGCCGATCTATATCGAGCTGATTGACGTTTTGAGAGTCCGTTGGCCTTCCTGCAACGTTCGGTCTACTTTGTTGGTGCACTTTTTTTGATCGCGGTGCGAGAGTGTGCAAAAAAAAAAAAAAGCCCAAGAGGGTTCCAAGACAGCCCAGAAGTAGCCCAAGAGGTCCCCAAGACGGCCCAAGAGGGACCCAGGACGGCCCCAAGCAGGGGCCCAGAGAGGATGCCCTACGAACATTTCAAGCCCTCCGCCCCCAGAGGTCCCAAGGAGGCCCCAAAAGGCCCCCCAAACGCCCCAGACGAATCTGGCCTCCCAGAGTTTCCGGAGGCTTCTCCAGCGGAGATCCACGCGGGGGGGAGGAAGGAAGAGGAGGAAGGGAGGAGGAGCAGGGGGAAAGAGGGAAGATGCAGAAAAGATCAGGACGAGGAGGAAGAATTGGGAAGGCTGAGCAGGAAAAGTGCGCAGAAGGACGAGGGGAGGAAGGGCGAGGAAACCAGCAAAGGCGAACAGAAATGAACCTTGAATAACGAGGATGTGAGAAGAAGCAGTGGGATCCCCAAGTCGGCCAAGAGGCCCCAAAGAGGGGGCCCGAGAGAGCTCCAAGACGGCCCAAGAGGGCCCCAAGACATTTCATCAGAGCCCCAAGACGGCCCAAGAGGGCCCCAAGAGAGTCCGTAGCCATTTTGGCTCAAGAACAGCGAGGTCCTGGCAGCCTCCCGCGCGGAACGCCAAGTGGCTTGCCCGAAGTTCCAGGACCGCACCTGTCGTAGAGCATGACGATCGGACCGCCGAAGCGCGTGTCGTCGCAGCAGGTGGAATGCGAGAACGGCGAGTCTGGTGCCGCGTCTTCGCCAGAGGACTTAAGGCACGCACAGGCGTGGCTTCACAGCCGCCTGCGCGACCTGAACGAGGACGACTTCGAGGGAGGACTCCGCATTTTCTGCACCAGTAACCTGGTGCTTCCAGAGGCCTTCCAGGACGTGTGGCACGTGATCTCCAGGGACTCGGACATACGCGAAGGTACACCCCTGCTCAGCGGGGAGGACTCGGCCAATCTGCGCACCATCCTGGTGTTCTGCAACCAGAACAGTTGCAACGAGGTCAAGAGGTTCTGCGACATCATCACGAACATAGATACGGGCACCCAGGACGCCCCGCCGATGTTCTGGGTGCCCCACTCCGCTGCGCCTGGCTCCCAACGCCAGGACAACTCGGACTTAGTGAGGCCACAGCTGGTGGTTGATCTCTTGTACAAGGGCGTGGACGGCATCGTGAGCGGCGAGCCAGCGGGGCTGCGACTCTCCATGGCCGTGCGCTCGATGATCCGCAAATCGGCGAATCTCTCGCGGAACCTGACCGACATGGTCGCGGAGACCCGCTGGCGGACGCAGTACGCGGAGTATTTGCAGCATTGCACGCACGCGACCCTGTGGGACTACGTCAGGGCCCGCCTGGCGCCCGAGATCCCGCCGATCGATCACAACCTTGAGCCCGGAGAGCCGCATGAGCTTCCCGGCTACATCATCGGGAACAAGCTCGGACAGGGGATGTTTGGGTCTGTCTACAAGCTGACGGAGAGGCCCGGGGTGGGCAACAGGGTCCAGGTTGTCAAGGTGGTGTCCACTGAGGCAATTAAGGAAATAAGAGAATTGATGAACATCAACCGCATGATCCGCGTGATGCAGATGCTGAGCGACGAGAAGACGCGCCACCCGAACATTATTCGCCTTCACCAGACATACCACTCGCCGACGCACATCATCTTTCGACTGGAGTACGGGGGCCCAGAGAACTTGCACCGCCGCCTGCTCCACCGCCAGGCACTTCAGCCGGAGAAGCAGCGACCACTGAGTATCGACAGGGTCGTGAAGATCACCTCGCAGTGCGTCGAGGCAGTGCGGCACTTGCACGCAGTGGTGCAGGTCTGCCACCGCGACATCACGACGTACGACAAAAAACAAAGGGAGGGACAAGCTATTATCCCACCGTTGAAAGAATGTCGACATTTTTTCCATTGAGCCTCAAACTATCCACAGGTGTTCAAGGTCGGCTCAGGATGATCATGCCAGAAGCGACAAACTCATTATTATTCAATATTGCGACGACAGGGATGACACTTGATATACCAAAGCCGTGGTCAATGCAGTATTTTCCAGCGCACAGCGTACCTCCAGCTTGGCAGGGGAATCTTCAGGTACACCAGTCGAGAAGGTTGAGAGGTAAACAGTCAATACACAGCAGGGGTCAAACGAGAGACGGAGTTTTGAATATAAAAGAACATCCTCGAGTTCGGCCAAACCACAACACATTGAAAGCTGTGTTCATTGACTTACTGACCGAAGATGATAGGGCGCTCCTCAAAAAGATCAAAACAAATTTTCATCGGAGGAAAGAAGAGAGACTGCTTTTTCATAACATAACGGCGAAGGATGATGAGTCTATGCATTTATTCTTGACCCCATTTGATCAAGCGTTGGCCACGATACTCAAATGTGCGAGATGTGAAAGAGATATCGAACTACGCAGAGCAGAAGGTGAACAAATTGTCGCATGGAGTCACGCAGCAAAAACGTGCCCTGGACGATGGAATATTGGAGAGAAAACTTTGGAGGAATGGCAAAAACTTTCAACACGTAGATACAGCACGCATGCCAAGTATATTGAGGAGTACAACTTGGGAAATCATGATAAGAAAGATTCTCGTCGACATCTATTATTCAGTATGCAGAGGAATTTCACTATGAGATATGCGTGTCGGAGACCTTTGTGTAAGTTGAACTGCCAAGGATTGAACACGAAAAGAATACGATACTATGCGGAGACAACTTGTACTGGCATGGTTACTGATGAGGAAAGAAATGGTGGGGAGCAGATCTACTATCTCAATATGGACAGATGTGACAAGCTACCTGAGGCTCAGCTGAGCCAATGCGCTTGCATGGGGAACGGTAACCCAGAGTTCGGCTACCGCGCCGTGAACCAGTTCACACACATCAAGCCAGAAAATATCACTGTCAATGAGACGCCCGAGACCACCACCATCAAGCTGGCCGATTTCGACCTCTCCGTCATCATCCAGGACGACAGCAAGATGTGCCAGAGCCCCTGCGGCACCGTGCCCTTCGCCGCCCCAGAGGTGCTTCGAGATGTTCCCCGCGACGACCCCTGCCCAGCGGACATCTGGAGCCTGGGCGTCCTGCTCGCGGAGGTATTCTGCGGGGTGTGCGTGGTGGAGCTCGCGATCAAGGACGCAGAACCAGAGGTGCGGCCAGAGGGCGAAAACACAACGCTCATCGAGTGCATCCGGACCTTCTTCCAGATGCCTGCCGCGGTTGCCAACATGCTGGAGAAGAGCTGCCGCCCAGAGCTCCGCTCACTGCTGCCCACCTGCAGCGCGATGCTCACCGGGATGCTGGTGGTCGACCCCACTCAGAGGATGGAGGCCGACGACGTCCGCTCCGTGGTGGAGCAGGGCTTCGCGCCGCTGGCCCTGGGGCCCGTCGCGCCCGCGGGGCCGATGGCGCCCGGCGGTCGGCGGCGGCGCGCCCCGCCGCGCGGAGCTGCGGAAGGCGCCCCGGCAGCGGGCGTCACACCGCGAGGCCCTCTGCCGCCCGCTGCGCGCGGCGGGGCGCGTCGCGCCCCGCCCGCCCGGAGTCGCAGACGATGCCGCGAGCCCCTTCCGTTACTCATTGAGCGCGTTCTACTGCTCCTCCCTCCTCCCTCCTCCCCCCCCCTCCTCCTCCTCCTCCTCCCTCTTGCTCCTCCTCCTCCCTCCCTCCTCCCCCTGCTCCTCCTCCCCCTCCTCCTCCTCCTCCTCCTCCTCCTCCTCCTCCTCCTCCTGCTCGCAAAGCACCGGCCTCGACGTAGTAGATCGCAGATCCCCCGCTGCAGATCCAGGCCGCTTTGGCAGTACAGTTACCTTGCGAATGGTGGGACGCGCCCGTCTATAGTTGCCCGCGCCCCAGTGGAAGGCCTCCATCTGCAGCGTGGCGCAGGCAGCGCTGGCTCCTCCGTACCGCGTCCTGGACGTAAATCAGGACCATCATTTCTTCATGTTATGGGCAGTGGAGCCGAGTGTGCCCCGAATGCTGTTTCAAGATCCCGACGACTCTTTGAGTTGCACGCACCAGAGCTGGGCGGTCTTCTTGGATTTTTAGCCAGCCGCCAGGGTTCGCACGCAGGGCGCATAGTGGAGGGACCCAGAGGCGAGAGTGGGTGGGTAGAGTGGGCTCCGCGGCAATGGTAATCGATATCTGTATTTTTGTCCACGTCTGGCGTCTGGCGCAGGGCGGGGAAACTACTTCCCCCGAAAGTGTGCGCAGCTTTCTAGGCCTTGCTTTAGATTTTGAATTATTGTAGTGGCCTCCAGCCAGTGCCGCCGATCCGGGGCGCTCCGGATGATGATGATGGTGTTGTTGTTGGGGCGTTGGTGGTGGTGATGGTGATGGTGATGGTGATGATCCCGAAGGGCCTCCACCTGCAGCGATGTGCAGGAAACGCTGGCTCCTCAATGCCGCGTCTTATCAGGACCATCATTTCTTCAGCCGAGTGTGCTCCGAATGTTTTTTCAAGAACCCGACGACTCTTTGAAGCACACGCACCAGAGCTGGGCGGTCTTCTTGGATTTTTAGTCAGCCGCCAGGCATCGCACGCAGGGCGCATAGTGGAGGGACCCGGAGGCGAGAGAAGAGGAGGAGGAGGAGGAGGACGCGGAGGAGGAGGACGCGCTCCGTAGCCATTTTGGCTCAAGTCCGTAGCGGTTCGGCTCAGACTTGGCCTCTTGGCGTGGGGGAGGCGCGCCCCTGCCAACGAACCCACGGCCATTTTGGCCCAGGGTATCTTTCAGTGAGCTCTTGCTGGAGCACTCCGCTTCTTTCACACTTCACCAGATGCCTTCCTATGGGAAAGGCGACGGCAAATCGGGATGGATCTGGAATGGTTCTCTGTCTACTGTTACTTGTGGTATGTGTGGTTGTTCCAAGAATCCGTCGCACTACAAGTGGTGCTACCACTGCGAGGCCTGGCTCCCCAAGATCGGCCATGGGACACCCCCCCCTCTCGGCGGCAGCTGGGCGAAGGGCGACACCAAGGGGGCCAAGGACAAAGGCGGTGGCAAAAGCAAAGGCATCCAGCTCCTCAACCAGTTGGTCCAGGGAGCAGACTCCAAGTTCAAGGGCGTTCACCCTGAGAATGCTAAAGAAGTTCTTTCAAGTGTGCTGGACAACGCCAGGGCCATCGACGAAGCCCAGGTTCCCGCCAGCAAGACCCTCCTGTCCACTGAAGCAGAGATCAAAAAGAGGGAGTCCAAGATCCGCAAGTACGAGATGCGCCAGGACAAGATCCTTGAACAGATCGAGGCCCTCGAGCTGGAAGGCAAAGAACTTCAACTTGCCATCGACAAAGAAGTTGAGGCCATCAACATTGCCCGACAGCATGCTGCATCGAAGCTTCAATCACACCAAGGCCTGCCTACACCAGATTCGCTTGGAGCCAATCTTCAGGCTTGGACAGAAGTCATCGGCCAGCTCGACAATGGGACGAGGCAACACCTCGGCCAGCTCTACCAGACCGCGCTGGTTGGCATCAACCCGTGCACCGCCGACGTCTACACGGCTGCCACCAACGTGGCCTCCACGCTCCTGGCTCCATCGGAAAGCACCGAGGAGCGGAGGGTTCAGCCAAACGGGGGTGACGAAGAGGGAGGAGGAGGAGAGAGGATGTCGCGATGGCAGCTGCGAGAAAGCGGCAGACCTTTCCCCGACACCTCCCCAGGTCAATCCCCTGAGTTCGAGCCATCAGACGATGAAGATATGGAAGAAGACCCAGGAGATTTGGAAGCTGATGCCCAGGGCCTACACGGGGCCTTCGCTCAGGAAGGACTCCTGGATGGGCCCCATGGGGCCAGGATCTCTCGGGTCATTGCGAGACACCTCAAGAAGAAGACTCAGCCCCGCAGGCCACCGCCAGGCCCATCGGCGGAGAGAGGTGAGCTGGACACACCGCCGCCGCGTGTTTAGCAGGGCTCGTTCGAGAGTCTCAACCTTCAACGGTTCCTGTTGGTCGACCTGCAAGGATCTCCTACAGGACTCAAACTGTGAAGTTGTTCTTCTCCAGGAACATAAGCTTCTGGCAGAAGGTCTCAGTTCAATGCAGTCTACTATTCTACGAATGGGATGGCATTCGCACGCTTCACCAGCTACTGTCAATTCTAATGGCTCCGCCGCAGGTGGAACAATGGTGCATCCGGAAACATCTGGACTCTTGGGGCTTCGACAAGAGCAATATTTTCCTGGGCGTTTATCTGGGTGCTTCTTACGAACTTCGAAGCTTGGGGTCATCCAGGTTTTCTCAAATTACTTCCAGGACCAGGTGCACATGAATGGTTTAAATCGTCGGGTTCTCAATAAGGTGTGGTCTCGGGTTGCGCAAGCTGGCACACCGTTTCTCCTGGGAGGCGATTTCAACATGCCCGCCGAATTGGTTTCAACATACCAGCCGCTCGACAAATTTGGCGCTGTTACGCGGGTGCCCGCCACACCCACGCTCCTCCAGGGCGGCAACAGCTCCACGATCGATTCTTATGTGCTCAGCCGTGCTTCGGACGCATGTGACCCGACGTTGTATGTGAACACATTGTGGCACAAGCGTCCTCACTTACCTGTCGAATTGAGCATTGACAAATGTATAGATGATGTGCATGTAGGTGTCATGACGCCGTATATCAAGCTCCCTCCCGCCCCAGCTGTTGGACCTGTGTGTAGGCCTCCCACATACACATTACTTGTCAACATGCTCGAGCACGCCATATCAACGCGCGCGCATGCTTCTGGGAACACACATATGGCCAGTGAACATGAACAAGCACACTTACAGTCTATCCTGGACGTGGTATACTTGGAATGGTCCACACACGCATGGAATGAGCTGGTAAGTATCACACAGTCCGGTCCACATGCCAAAGGCCGCAGAGGAGGTCTACCGCCTGAGTTTCAAGATGTCCCCCTGCGAAAGGTGTTGGCCACCAAGGCCTACACCAAAGTATTTCCTGGCCGTGCTTTGCTCTGGGCATTTAACAGATTGCAGGAGATTGAGACGCTTTTGGTCAAGAATGGACCGTGCAAGCTTGACCCCTACCTCACCTCCCCCCTCCGTCCGCTGTGGGAACTACCAGGGAAAGGTGGACCATTTCGACGCTATTGGAAACAGGGCACCAATTTCTGGCACCCTTTCTTGTCTGACCTTGCACGAGCCATTCTAACGAAGAGTTCTAACGCTATGCGAGTCTCACTGCTGGCGCCAGTTATCAAGTATGTGCAAGCCTGCTCCCAACTGGGACAGGTGCAGGAGCGCCGCAGGCAGAGGAAGGAATGGGAGGAATGGCGTTCTTCTGCTGGATCAGGTCATGCTCAAAAAGCTTTCTCGTTCCTTCGAGGACCAGAATACCGCCCAGAAGATGTCGCAGGCGTGGGATCATGCATGTCGACATCACTTCCGAAGAGGATGGAGGCGGAGGTAATACATTGGTCTAAAGCCTGGGATGCTAAGCCTGACAAAGCCCCTCCCCCGAGTCGAGCTTCGATGTGCCCCATGCCTGTTCTTCCTCCTCCTGACCCAGAAGTTATTAGATCTATTTCGAGACGATTCAAGATGCATACCTGTACCCCAGACGGCATGCATCCCAGGCATTACTCGCTGCTTTCATCTGGCGCGCTGGAGGCGCTCTCACTTATCTTCCACATCATGGATGTACTCGGCACGGCTCCTACATCCATCCAGATGATAATCATGCTGCTTATTCCTAAGCCCCAAGGAGGGCGAATACCCTTGGGCCACTACCCAGCTATGCCACGTCTGCATGCTAAACTACACAGGGGCCCATGTAGATCCTGGGAACGAGAATTTGGACTGGGCGCTGCTTTCTCTATGTCTCAGGCACGGGGACCTCAGGACATTGTTTGGCGGAATGCTGTAAGAGCAGAGTGGCATAGTGACCAAGGTATTTCTTGTTTATGTGTTCTATGGGATCTAGTGCAATTCTACGAAAATATATGCCACTGTAAATTATTAGAACAAGCAGATATTGTTGGCTTCCCTATGTATGTCATCCTTTACACCATAGGCACATACCGATGGACACGAGTTCTTTTGATGGACGGGGCGTTTTGCCCATCTCTCTGCCCCCGCAGCGGGGTCATCGCTGGATCTACGCCGGCGACGTTTGAAGCAAAGGCGTATCTTCTACCAACTGTCAAGAGCTGGACCTTCGACCCTGACCACTCGTGCCTTGGAGTTCACATCGATGACCTCCAGTTGCACTCATGGGCCAGCTCCATGAAGCTATGCATTTCTACCATGCAGGCAATGACGGTGTCTCTAGCCAAAGTTCTTCAACAATATTTGGGATGCTCTCTATCCGAAAAGAAGATGACCATCACCGCCAATTCCAAGGAGCTCGCGAAACATGCAAAAGCTGTCATTGGCCCCCTTGGAGGCTCCTTGGAGGACGCCCCACCTAACCTTGGGATGGACTACATTGCTGGAAAGCCGAAGTCCCAGGTCCGTCGTCTGAGCAAAAGGGCTGCTAGGTGGCGAAAGTTTAAATGCAGAATGAGTAGGCTCAACAAGTGTTGGGGCCCACGTAGGCTTAAGACCAGGCTGTACAAGGCGAGCGCACAGTCCGTCATCTCCTACGGGGCCCAAGCGCAAGGCTTCTCACCCAGGGAAGTTTTAACTTTAAGAAAATCGTCGGCTGCGGCTTCGGGTGTGAAGCTCTCGGGGGCCCCCTTGGACTTGTCCTGGGCCCTCTCGTCTCGGTCCCAGGAAGACCCCATATATATATTATATATATATATATATATATATATATATACATAGCTGCAGCCGCGATTTAACGTTATGCATCAGAATGGTGGCACAACACCCAGACCCGCCCCGAAGCTGGGCTTAAACACAAAGATGCCATTGTTCTGAGCACGCTCTCCTCTGCGTTTCGAGCTGCCCAAGAGTCGGCGTTGAACTCGCTTGGTAAATCTTGGGCTGCTCGAGACAAAGGGCCGCTGAGTGATGCAGTTTTGTGGATTCTCGAGGCAGGGTGGACTATTGACAGTCCCTCCACTTTTACAACCTGCCAAGGTGATAAGCTGGTCCTCACTGAACGTCCCCCGTCGGTGGTCACTCAGGCTTTTGTCAAGGACTTAACCAGCCAGAAGATCGCCGCAGTATTTAGGAAGAGGCTCGCGCCTTTGTCTCACCCCATTGCTCGGCAGATAGAAGCTGAAGGATTCTGGCCTTTCGCCGGCAAAAAGACCCCCCATGGGAAGTCTTTGCCCGACGAACACAAGCATCTTTTTAAACGAGTTCTTGCAGGGACCCCCCCCCCCCCCCCCACTTGTGAAAGGCTCCACAGGTGGGGCTACGAGGTGTCGCCTCTTTGTTTGTTCTGTCCAGTGCCAGACACATCCTTTCACCGTATATGGGAGTGTGCCCACGGGGCCGCGAAACGCCAGGAAGTATTTAGTCCAGAGTTGATCCAGGACGCCCTGGAAGTCGGCCCCGACCACCCACTCTTTGCACACTTCCTCCAACCTGCCCCCTCCATCCCAGAGGTGGCTCAGGACTGGGATTTAAGATTCGTGGATGCTCAGTCTAACCCAGTCGACCCATTTCACTTTCCCCCAGAGGCTTTTGTTTTTACAGATGGGGGATGCGACAATCCGCCCAATTCTGAACTAGCTCGGGCAGGGGTGGCGGCTGTGGAAGTCGATTTTGAGGAGAATCTCTTGCGCGCGAATTACGCCCCTCTTCCTCGAGATTTCCTTCAAACACCTGGAGATGCCGAGCATGCAGCAGTGGCTCTAGCGATGCTCCGATCGCTCGACCCTGCCAGTAACACGTATCACTACGATTGTTCTGCCCTGGGCCAATTTGTCACTTGGACAGAGATAGCTCTAGCGGGCAGGACCCCGCAAGCCAGGTATTGGAGGCCAGCTGCGCGGTCGCTTGGATCATCACCCACCCCTGCCACGTGTAAAGTGCAGGCCCACAAGAGGGAGAGGCCCGATATGAAGTTGCCCTTTTCCATATCAAAGGCAACTCACTCGCAGATCACTTCGCAGGATTGGGACAGAGAGCGCACGGCCTTCCACACAATACAGTAGACATCTACACCCAGGCTCTGGCAGAATATCAGAATTTAGTCACAGGAGCCTGTGCTATTTTACAGGTTTGGCCGAAGCCCCAGGAGATGTTCGGGCAGTTGGCCAGGCCAAAGAAGGCCCGCCGCCCCAGGTCCCAGGGCAAACCTCACCGTCCAGCCTGGGACGGCAATGCATTCCGCTGCCGCTTTTGTCTCCGTAGATGCTCCAAGCAGAGTACATTTGCATGTGAAGCCCTGGCCCCAACCCTAGCAGAGCTACTGCGGACGGGTGGTGGAACAGGGCATCAGCTTCACGCAGCTCGAACTCAAGGGAGCGAGCTGCCTGTCATTTTCTGCGTTCTTTGCGGCAGGTTCGCCACGCAGAAAACGAGAGGCCTGCTGGAGACCTGCCCCCGCCCAAAGAAGTCAGGAGAAAGGAACAAGCTCCTCAGAGGCCTTTTGCCTGGCACCCCGCTGCTTTTGGGCCCTGCGTTCCCCCTTTTCGTTCCTCTGCCCCCCCCCCCCGCTTCCCCAGGGCCCCATCTGCAGGAGAGTGACCACCAGCCTCTGCGAGAGGCCAGATAGATGGTTGCGAGTGCTACTGCCCCTGCAGTAAGCCAGGGGCAGCCTCTCGTCCTGCCCTCTCATGAAGTGCAGACCCCCCCCCCAGTGGAGGAAACCCATCCCTCCCGCGGCCTGCTGCCCGTGTAAGCTCAGGTTTACTTTCGGGCCCTTTACCTCCTGGTTTGCTGTGCCCGTGTTCGCCACTGCCGAGGCTCGACCTCTATGCGTCCGTGGCCAGCCTAGACCATGTCAGGTAGCGGCAGCCCGAGACTTTATCTCAAGTTGAGGTTAATTGGGAGGGGATACCTTTTCGGCTGCCGCTACCGACCACTGTTTTTGTTGCTTTGGGAGTGGCGGCACTCCTGTCAGGGGATTGTGCAAAGGCCTAGCCGTATGATCACCGTGGTCAAGTCTTGAAGGTCTTGAAGGAGGACGCGCTCACGATTTTCCGCAACCTTCCAGCCATCGCCTCCGTAGCTTGCATTACCAGGCCCGCCAGTGCAATACATGGCCGCTGTTAGATACCTCCATTTCTACCCCACCTCTGATATTGCTTTCTGTCCCGGGACCCCCGCCTTCTCCAGATCACCCCAGTTGCAGATTGCACGTGTAGCTAGACCGCCCTGTTTCGAGATAGTTTTGAGTTCGAACTCGAGTGCTCAAGTGCTGCAGCCGCAACCTGCTTCCATTTAAACTTTCCAAGCGGAAGCAGGTGTGGGGATTCCTTCCTCGGCCTTCTCTCCAAGATTGCAGAAAGATGAAAAAAGAGGGCCCCAAGAGAGCCCCAAAAGGCTCCCAAGACAGCGCCAAGGGGCCCAGAGGACGCCCCCAGGAGAGCCCTGGAGGGGTCGTGGTGGTGATGGCTGCAGTTGGCTTCAGTTCGTGCGCCGATTGTGGTCCTACCGACGATTAGGATGGTCGTGGCGGTGGCACTTGCCGTGGTGGTAATGATAGTGGTCGTGGATTCGCGGCAGTGGCAGTGGCAATGGTAGTGGTATTGGTGGTGGTACAGGCAGAGGTTGAACCAATGGCCGTTATAGTGGTCGTGGACAGTGCAATCGTTGTGGATGGGGTGGGCATGTTCAGAATGGACATGGAATCAGAAGTGGTCGTGACCGCGGTGATGGCGGAAAGGGCGGTGGTAGCCGTGGCGGCATTGGCGGTGTTGAACGTGGTCGCGGAAGTGACTAGAACCTAAGCGTGCGCGAAGCGCGTTCGTGCCTCTAGTGTGTATATAGATATGTATGACTTATATGTGTGTAAATATGTATATATATGGATTCATATGTGTATATAAACTGTATCAAGCCAGGCTTTAGATCAGCCATGGAAGTTGCACGCCCGTTTGGAAGCGGCGCATGCTTGTCCATTGCCCCGTCGCCCGAAGTGGAGTCGTTCGCCAGCGAACGGAATGTTGGGTTCGCCTCGGTGTTTGGTATTGCATGGTTGTTGCGCGATGTTGCCTTCGCCGAGTCGTCCGATGGGGGGCTGGGCGCAAGCGAGAGCCTTCCATTTATCAGGCGTGGTGTATGCCAATAGGTATATGATGCGAGAGTGGCGGGGGTTGGTTGGAGGCCGCTGACTCGCCCAAGATGGCCAGTTTAACCCACGTTCTTTCGCGTTCGGAAGTCTATTGGTATTGCTGCGTGTAGTTGTCCAGGTCATCCTCCTCATGCGTGTCAGACTGCCCGGACTCATAAGTTCACATGGCATGTCCTATTAAATGGTTGCTACTCGTAGTCTCACCCGTGTTCCCATGTATCCACCTATCGAGTTGCACATTCTGCTCGCAGTCGATTTCGCAATCGTGCATGCGCGCATTACCACCCCTATCATGACACCTACCTGTTCATCTTTCGGGAATCTGGTATAACCAATGCCCAAAGGTACCCGGCTCTCATTGATACGGTCAGAAACTGGTTTCCACCTCGTCGCCCTCACCTTTTTCTGCTCACTTCACATTTCACGTGTCTCGTTTCCATGGTTCGTATGTTATCACCATGATCCGCACGTCATATGTCGTCCCCCTTATGTGGTTCCACAGTCACCCGCCTCGCAGCTCATCTTCCCCCTCCACTTTTACGCTCCACATCCTCATGCGTGCCCTCCTCGTCTCACCCTTGGTCCTCCCATCGCCCGTCCCGGCCTGGGCCAGAGGGCGCGCGTGCCCTTTTTCCAGTGAGGCGGCGCGAGGGCTCGAGGGCTCGAAGAGAATCGTGCGTCACGCACCGTGGGGCGCGACATGAGAAATTTGGACGGCCTGGCTCTTCTCGTCGTCATGACTCCTCCTGTTCCCTCTTCCACCCAAACACCAGATCTCAGGCGGTGGTCCAACCGTTGGAGCAGTCGCTATCCTCCTATTCCCCATCCCACTTGGTTCCCGCTGCACCAGGCCCCCCCCTAGGATACCCTTGCTTTCCAAGCGCAGAGAGAAGGGGGGTCGCAGTGGCAGAAGGAGCAGCAGCGGCCAGACAAGACGGGGCGAAGAGAAGGCCGGGCGGCCCGTGATGAGGGCGATGAATGGGGGGGGCGGGCTCGAGGGCTGCAGAAAAATGGCCCTACGAGGGCCCCCGTGGGGCCTCGAGGGTAAACGAAAGGCGCACCGTTCTTCACACCCCATTGATCGCCCCCCTGTCTACGCAACGCCGATAGAAAGGCGGAGGGTCGATTTGTTCTGGCACCCCGTCCTCCTTCCCTCCTTCATTCCCGCTGCGCTCTCCTATCGGGGGAGCGTAAGACCCGGGTTTGCCAGGACTCGGGCTCGCCATCGTTTTTAGACGACCGCGCCTCGGATTTTGACGAGGAGGAGTTTCGTGGGATGTCTGCAGCGGGACGCCTCGTCAAAATGCAGGCTCGGCCTCGTCTTTTTTTTGGCGACCTCGTCGGGTATTTCCGAGTCCCCTGTACCCAGGTCTTACGTCCCCCTGATCCCATCACCGTCCCCGTCGACCATCCCTCCTCCAGCCTCCCTCGCCCCTCCTCCCCTCCGCAGCCTCGCTCTCCACCCCCTGTGTGCTTCCCAGCAGAGAAGCGGGGGCCCACCCTCCCTCACAGGAGCCTGCGGATGACGCGAAGCCCCGCAGGAGCCCTCGCGGAGCGGGGGGGGAGGTCCGAGGAGGAGGAGGAGGAGGAGGAGGAGGAGGAGGAGGATCGGTCTGGCCCGCAGAGTTGCGTTTGCAGTGCAAGAGGGGCCCTCAAGCAGCCGAAGAGCGACTAGCCCCCAGGACCGCCTGCGTCGGCAGTGCAAGCTGACGCTTCGAGCAGCTGAAAAGCGACGGGGCCCCAGAGTGTTTGTGTGCACTTGCGCTGCTCAGCGCACGGGGAAGCAATCGCATTATCGGAGCGACACGGTCCAGATCGGTCCAGGAACTCAGTCCAGTCCTCCTCCTCGTTCTCGTACTCTTTCGCTCCTGCCTTTCCGTCCTTTCACCTCCCAGTCCAGGAACTCAGTCCAGATCAGGGGGCGGGAGAGAACGGAGGGGGGGTACGGGGGTAGAAGCCAGGAAGGCCGAGGTCGCCTGTCAGCTGCGTCGTCCGCATCCCACTGTCTACCACGAGGAGGGAGACGAGGAAGAGGAGGATGAGGAGGAGACGGAGGAAAGGGAAGAGGAACGCTTTGGTGGAGGCGGCGTGGAGGAATTCGGTTATACAAAAAGGCAGCCGGACATGAGTGACCTGATCTAGTATTGGCGAAATGCTGTTAAGAGTGGTTGGAACCTGTCGGTCGTGCCCGGGGGGGCAGAGCTACCTGCACCCAACGGCGCGAGCAGAAACCGCAGTCAGGCACAGAGAACCCCCGACTTGAAATACACCCGTGCCGATGTACAGCTGGGGCCCTGAAGAAGGAACCCTTTTCGTTTGGAAGGGGCTCCGCGTTCCTTAAGTATTTCACAGCTTGCCTCAGGCTTTCCTTAAGTTTTCGACAGGAAATCGAAGGTTAACTTATGGGAAAAAGAGGCCTCGTTCCTTATTTTGGGTTCCTTAGGTCAACGCCCCGACTGTATGTAGGCGTCGCTCGTCCTCCCGAGGGATTGGTGTTTTCCTCTCCCGCCAGCCTGGCGGCCGTCGCGCCGCCGAGCGCCGGGCGCGTCGCCTCCTCCCTCGCACGCGGGCCACCGACGCGCGTGGCTCGCCCGCGTCGGCGGGCCACCGACGCGGCCAGCCAGTCACGCGACGTGCAGCGGCATGTTCGACGACATCGGCCACCAGTTGTCAAACGACGCGAAGATCGGGACAAAATCGGATCGGGATAACTCGAAATCTCTGAAAATCGGCGGGTTTGGAGGATGTATTAGGCGCCGCGGCCGCTCCAGAGCGTTCCGGAACGCTCTGAGAGCGCTCCGGAACGCTCTGGGGCGATTTATCCCGATCCTAGCCCTATTTTATTATTGCCTGCTGGCCCTTCGGTGGTTGGGCGACCTGCGAGTACAAGCAGAACTGCCGCACCTGCCTGCGTTCATGCGAGGTCGCGGCCCCTCACGGCCGATGTTGCGTCCACTTTGCGCAAGTGCAGCCCGAGCTGGGCGGCTACTTCGTCCACGAGCAACCCGAACCATCATGGCTGCACGACGAGCCGCCATGGCCAGAAATGTTGGTAGAGGCATGCGTGGACGAGGTCGGTTTGGGCTAGCGTCAGCTTGGGCTTCGAGATCGTCACAGAGGTATTTTGAAGAAGACCTCCGGGCTGGTCTCCAATGCTCTGGAGATCTTCGAGCAGTTCGCAAACTGCCGATGCCCAAGCAAGCGCACCCTTGTCCACGAAAAAGGTCCGACCAGTTTCGATGCTCAGCTTTGGCCACGGAAGATGGCCGAGCGACTCGCCCAGGGCATGGTGGGCTTCCGTCGCCGTCCGAGGCGCCAGCACTTCGCGAATTGCGTTCGCGAGCGCGACGTCCGATCAGCAGCCTTCCCATCAGTGGCCACCAGAGCCACGGAGGGCGCGATCACCTCTGCACTGGCGGCCGAGCGCGCACGATGCACTTGCAAGGTGTGCAAAGGCAACATGCGGGCACATTTGCCCATGCACCCCAGGGATTCAACAACGCGCCGCTACCTTCGCAGCGCCCCGATCCACCGGGAATGCCCCGTCTGCAAGGAGGAGAGAAGGAAGCGACCACCCCACGCTCGCCCACGAGCTCGACAAGCGCAGGCTCAACTGCCCAGCTGGGCACATCTTGAAGCAGCAGATGAGGTCGCTCTGCCACCTGCGCCCGGAGAACAATCAGGAGCCAGATCATCGTCTAGCGCTGGGGCTCAGGGTAGCGATTCGGGCGACTGTTTCACTCGACCTCAGGGTAGTGGTTCGGTTGAATGCACCCTTCGACCAGGGGTGCGAGCCAGTCCCGCAGCAGGCGCAGAGCCCCGACGGTCAGCGCCCCGAGTTGCCGACGCAGCTGTACGCAACCCGACGCCCTCGGACTCGTCCCTCTTCAATGTCGCCACATCCGCGCGAGCACTTCGCAGCGATTCGCATGAGACGGCCCGCGAGGGCCGCGCAAACTGCACTTCCGATGGCGGCACGCCACAAGGGAGGAGACGCCGCGAGCACC